TTCAAAATCAATCAAACTACATAGAAAAGAATTTATATGTTTTTTCGTGTTTACATATATATTCAAATAAGCAATTGACGTGAACTTTGTATATCAAAAGTTATTTAGTCATTATTAATTGTAATAAATTTCTTACATAAATTCGTATATATTTTCTCTTTATTTATATTTATTTATTATATTCAGAATATTTACTTATATTCGGTATAATTTGATATTGTTTCCAACTATACTATCTAATGATTCTTCCTTTTCATCGAAATATTTTTTGAAATTGCTATCATTATATGTTTATATTTACATATTATTTTAGCGATTCTTTGCTTACTTTCAATGACAACGTTTATTATGATTATGATTATTATTATTATATTATTATTATATGAATATTATTTATAAGGAAAATTTTATTATTTAAAACTACAAACATTTACAAACATTTTCAAATGTTTACAGACATATAGCAATCAATAACTTTTCTATGTTAATTTTATTCTTTACTATGACATAATAATATCCAAATCACAATTTATTTGTTCGAATTTTGAAGTTCATCTGTTGTTTTTGTAAATATATTAATGTCCCATTTATTCACTATCTTAGACTGATACATAATATTTATTACTAATTACGTTCTCATTGTATAGCTAGTAATAGAATGTAACAAAAAAAAAAAAAAAAAAAAAAAAAAATTTATACAAAACATTTTATCCATTGTACCAGTCATTGATTACAAATTTATTTTTATTAACAAAAAAAGTTTGCTGTAATTAATAAAGATAAAGTAATTTTTAAAATGCATATGTCAATTTTCATCTCTTCCTCTCTGTCTTAGACTATTTCATATAGAATATACATAAATACCATTATATATGTAAAATACCTAAAATACGATATCAATTAATATTAAAAATGTACCGAGCAGTGAAAATATATTTTAGATTAATCAAAAGTTATCAATCATAATTTTAGTGAAAGATGCCTTTAAAACGTTGCTGTTCATATCGATTTATTAATTCAAATGATATTTTTATCACATATTATATTTTATATTATTATTGCATTCTTTAATATTAAATGTATTAACTATTAAATATGATAGTCAATAGTTTTCTTTTCATTATACTTTAAATAATAATATAACAATAAAACATCGCAAATCTCTAGTATTCTTATTTACGTTCTGACTAAACACATTTTTTTTTACTCATTATCTAAGTCTTATTTTTACTTAGAATCTAAATATTTTATTTCATTAAAGAAAAAAATTATTGTATATAAGTAAACACGATTATTATTCATATAAAGATGAGATAAAAATTATTATTACTTTTATGGGCACATTAAATATATGCCAGATTTTTAACGAATCATTATAAATCTACGATAATATTGTGGATGTACATATACGCAATAAATTATATACTTATTCACGTCCAAATGTGTATAGCCGGATACGATTAAATTTAGAATTTATGTTGAAACCTTTACTTTAAAAAATAAGCATAATCTATGATCGAAGTAATAACTATAAAAACATAAATAAAACCAATACATCGATAAGAAACTTGATATATATATATATATATACATATATATATATATATATATATATATATATATATATACACATATGTTATACATATCATTTATAAAATCGTCTTGAATTGTTTAATTCAATTAAGATAAAAATATCCTATAAAAACACAAATTTTATATTTTAAATTTCTTAAAAATTAGGTTAAAGTCTTACACTTGTCTGTGTGGTTGTCATTCTTATACTCTATATATGTGGTAACTACAATTGTATTTTATATAAATTACATATAATGGATTTTATCGGAAATTTTAAATAAAAATATCTTTTCGGAATAAATATAAATATTTGATGTATACTTATTTTTTACAATATAAATATCGTCTTTACATATTTTTTACGCTTTTAATTTTTTAAAAATCTTTCTTAATTTCATGCAACGTTTATTTCTTGAAATCTAAAAATTTAAATACTTTTGTTTATTAGTGTTCGTATCTGTTAATTATAATGCAGCTAGTAATTTATAAATACATTATATCTAAATAAATTATCCTTTACAAATCATATACATTCATTTAATATATAAACAGTACTTTATTAGAAGTTGTTCATTAGCAAATTTCCCATCATTAAAAGAGCATTGTTTGAATTTAAAATTAGTACATATACTTTTCTATTCTTATTTGTAGCACTATCGTGCTGTTAAATACTAAATAGTACAAAGTATTTTTATTTTTAATATATACCTGTTTTATTTTTATAAAGGAATAAGCTACATATAAATCGAAATTTATAAATTTATGGAGTACCCTATAAAAGTTATTACTGCCATCGAGTTAATATTTTATATAACAAATATATATGCTTGATTTCGAATGCTTTAATATATATAATTACTGGATTACATATTTGTAAACACATATGTATTAATTTATTATAATATTTATATCTCATCATATTTATAATCAGTTATGCTTATAATATTATAACATATAAGCATATATAATAGCATAAAGTATATGCTTATTATATATAATATATTATATAATATAATATCATAAGTAGCAAATATATGTGCAATCAAAATATATAAAAATAATTACTTCTATCGTTGTATAATGAAAAGATTCACGTTAAACTTTCAAATACCATAAATTTTTCAATTATATGTAAATAAAAATAAATATCGAAAAATAAAAGTGTACGAATAAATCATGTCCATTGAACTGCACGAATAACTCATGTTTAGTGAACTGAACGAACTTTTAAATTAAAAAATCGATCATTATTACTGAATATTTCCTCAAATTGCTCATTATCAGCACGTAAAGGTAATAATGTATTTCCACAAGTTTCATGACTGATCAATGAGTAACAAAGCAAAATATAAAGTACAGACAATAAAAGTATGCGCATCATCATTCTGAGGCAGTTTCTCAAATTAATCACGCACATGCATCGGTTCAATTGCGCAATCATTGTTCTGCGTTTGTAGCGATAATAGGAAAGCTATTAAGCTTGGTACATCAAGACGATCCTTCCATCTTTTTCTTCTACTATACTGAGCGTTAATGCTAACATTAGCTTCGATGAAATATGAATTTCAAATATAGCAATTATTTATACTTATAAATAAATTTTGCAGTTATATATCTATATATATATATATATATATATATATCCTTATCATTATAATTTATAATAGACAGAATTTTTTTATTTTATTTTTCTTTATATTAAACGATAGTTTGTACTTTTGTGGTAAGCTTACAATATCTGACATACTTTATTTCTAGATATATTATTAATTCTGTCATAGAACATATTATTAATCTTCTATAAATAATAAATTATAAAATTAATTACTAAGTATAAAATAGAATATACAAAAAGTATTTTATTAAGTTCAAAATATATTGAGTTTAAGAAATATATATCATCAAATCGCACTAAGCTTGGAAAATTGTTAAAAATGAAAATTATATAGAAAGGAATTAAAATTAAAAATATTTAAATAAAATAATATAATTTTACTATTGCTTTTTATTTATACAATTATGTATCATATAATAATAATAAACTCGTAGCTTATTGCATTATTAAGATATAAGTCGAAAATTATTTTTATAGATATTTAATTATTTAATTTATTGAATTTAAAAATTTGTTAGTAAATTAATAAAATTAATATAAGTTCGATATTCAGAGCTTATCTAAGACAGA